CAATTTGCAACGGCTGACTATAAAAAAAAAAAAAAAAAAAAAAATTGAGACATTAAGGTAAATGGCATATGGACCTTGTACTGGATAAGAGTCAGATCCAACTCATAGTGATCCTGTGTAGGGTTTCTGAGAGCAGTTGGTGGGTTTGAACCTCCAACCTAGTTAGCAGTCCAGTGCTGACCCTACAGCAGCACACAAGGACTCATATTGGACAATATTAGTCAATTAACAATAATAACTGGATGATATTAAGGGATTCTAATTATTAATTTCTATAGCTAGGATCCCTGGTGGGGCACTGTAGGATCAGCACTAGACAACAGTTCAACTCCTTGGAAACCCTATACAGGGTCACTATGAGTTTGAACTGACTCAACGACACTAAACAACAGCACTGACAGGACTACAAACAACAAGGTCAGCAGTTTACACTGATGTGCTGAACTGCAAAGTCGGTTTGAACCACAAGGTCAGTGGTTCAAGCTCACCAGTCACTCCTCAGAAACCCTATACAAGGTTGCTATGGGTTTGAACTGACTCGACAGCACTTAACAACAACAATGTCGTTAGGATAGTAACATAATGGTTATTTTTAAGGCCTGGTCACTTAAGAGATGCATTCTGGGTTATTTACATGTGCAGTGGGGTTTGGTTAACATACTCTGTTTGGAGTGAGGGATGGAGAGTGGGAGCAGGGTAAGAGCACATATGGGAAATAAGGAAACCCATACAACTGTTGAAGCCCCAGTAATAGATATGTGTGGGATGACTTTGCTATTCTACTTTTATAACGGTGACCTGGTTCTTCTTGTTGAGTCCCACTGAGTCGGTTCCAACACATAGCAATCCTGTACAGGGTTTCTGAGGAGGGGCAGGTGGGTTTGAATCACTGACCTCCCCGTTAGCAGTCCAAGGCTGATTCCACAGCACCACATCAGGACTCCCATGGTGCTCTTTGAATCCTCTAACACGCTGCAGAAGCCTTTTCTGTTTCTTTTTACTCAGCTAATTAAGGTACAGAGTGGCTGCCAGCCGCAGCAGAGCCAAGCCACACTCAGGTCTGCCCCATGGAACTCACCTGCTGGGAAGGCAATCTTTGTTTTTCTGGCTTCCTCTGGTTGGTTTGGGCCTTTGGCTTGCTGGGAATGAGAGGTTTCGCTTTGCCTTTGTCCCGCAACCTGAAACAAGACAGTCAACAATGCTGATCCTGAGGTTCTCTCAGCCTGGAGAGGAAAAGCCTTTTGTCACACTGGCTCTAAGTCCACGAGGCGCTCAGAGTCCTACAAGGAGCTACTGAATCAGGCCATCTTAAAGCTCAACCTTTGTATCACTGTTTTCTCGCTTAAAACCTTAAGGGAATCTCAAAATGCATTTATTTAACACATATTTTTTAGTGTGGCATTGTGGGTTAATGCGCTAGACTGCATTAATAGTCGGCAGTTCAAATTCACCAGCTGCTCCTCAGAAACCCTATACAGGGTCGCTATGGGTCAGAATCAACTCCACGGCACGTAAGAACAACAACACTCGTATACAAGGGCTGGTTGGTCTGAGGTTTGGGGAGACTTGGGAACTCCTGAGCCAATGGACATTGACCTAGCCACGGAGAGCTAGAGTTGAGAGTGAAGCGTCCAGCTGATATGAAGTGGGGGGAGATGCACAAGAATACCCAAACTTGCAGATAGTTCCCATTTGACCTAGCTTTCATAGGTCGATTACCAGAGCTTAACTTGTTGTTGTTAAGTGCCGTCGAGTCAGTTCCGACCCATAGCGACCCTGTACAGGGTTTCCAAGGTTGTAAATCTTTACAGGAGCAGAAATCCCCATCTTTCTCCTGCGGAGCGACTGGTAGTTTCGAACTGCTGACCTTAAGGTTCACAGCCCAATTTGTAACCACCATGCTACCAGAGCTCCTTAAAGCTAAACTAAAGGAAGATAAAGAAATATGATAATGGAAGCAAGTGTAAATTGCTACAATTTGATGAACTTGACCTAAACTTATGGACGTAGTAGCTCAAAATACCAACTGAGAAGCAAGGAATCTTCACATCAAAGATCAAGCCTGTCCCCCTGGTATACAGGGTTGATAGGGACAGGCAACTTAGACATTGGTGGTGATGGTGGTGGTGGTGGTGTGCTGTGGAGTTGGTTCTGATTCATAGAGACTCTGTATAGGGTTTCTGAGGCTGTAAATCTTTATGGGAGCAGAAAGCCTCATCTTTCTCCCGTGGAACA